AAAAAACTTATTTCTAACATTTCAGTTTATTTAGGCATATTGTATTTGTTTTAAAATTGCATCTAAATGAATTTTACAAAACTGATTTATAATTCAGGACGATTATAATTTATTATAAAAATATTTTGGAATTAACTGTTTACTCGTGAAGAAATCATAATTAAAATTAAAACTTTTAAGAACTTCTTATTTTTTTTAAAAGAAGTGTATATCTATTTCATTTCAAGCAGTAAATAGTCACCCTGCCTGTCTGCTCATGTTTATTGAGCGGTTTATTAATAAACATTGCGCCAATATTTACTTCAAATGAGCTAACGACCACTTGAAAGCTTAACAATCGATGAAATAGTTTACCCACAGATGTCATTCTTATTTGTATTTCAAATTAACATTCTCTATATTAAGATGACTTTATCAACTATTTCCTTGCTATCCATTTTTCAAAAAAACTTTCACTCACATTGTAAAATGTGCACGCAATAAAGAACATATATCATCTATTGTTGTATTAATAAACATGTTTAACATGTCAGACAATGTTTGCAATCATGCCATACCTAAACTAGAGGAACACTACATTTGCCATGCATTGAAATAGCATAACGCATCTACTCGTACAACGGATAAGCTATATCACGTAAATTAATACAGCAACAGATACCGACATTTGAAACTATATAACTAAGCTCTATAATGGCTTGCTGTGTTTCGCGTTACATTAAATTTCTGCGGATGTCTGATCGCACGATGTGTGAGCTTCATTCGATTATCCGGCCCGGATGGCCTTATGCACAATGGACTCCTGCCGTCATGAATTGTTTGCTTTCGATAGTTGTTCAGAAAATGAAAGCATTTAGTTAGACCAAACGGTCTGATTGATCGCTCTAAATTATCGAAAAATCATTCATTGATCGCTTGTTTTCCATCAGTTGAGATATATTTGTCTAAAGTATCTTAATTTAACATACATATCAAAGAATAAGAAAATAGTACGTCTCTAAGTAATTGGGTTTTTGAAAAAAAAAAAGTATTGATTTTTTTTATGTATTTTAAAACTTTATTATTAATTATATTGGATTTTTAATGCAAAAAACTTGAAATATATTTTTTAAATTAATTATAAACAATTAAAAATTGATAAAATTCAAAAATATATCACGTGACTGTAAACGCGCCATGATTGGTCAGCATACTTGTGACGTCATAATGTTAAAGCAATTTCATAATAGTACAGTGTTTATGGCTATTATCTTTAACTTGATAAAAATATCTCAAATTTATTAGTGAAAAACGATTTGAAAAGTTTATTTCGACTATGTGTGATAAAGGATTTATAAAAGCAAAATCGGATAATATTCCTGATGTTGATATATTTATGATAACTATTTTTTTAAAAAATGACGTTCGGTTTAATTCTGCTGAAGTTCGAGGTGATAAGGCATCAAGGTAAGTCTGTTAAAAAATAATATTCTAAATGAAAATAAGTATTTATTCTCTATTAAATATAATTAATAATTATTTCATTAAATCATTATTAATAAAATGTTATTATAACATTATAAAAAAACCAAAATAACATATATGTACTTTAAAAATTTAAATGTAGTCTGATACAGAACCTAGAATGTTATAAAATTATGAAAATATCTATTAATTGAAGTCCAATTATTAGACAAACATACATATAGATTTACTATTTAATCGCTTTGAATTATCAATTAAATTTTTTTAATGCTACGATTCTAAAGGTTATGATTTGGAGCCCAGGTAAAAAAATTTATTATTGAACTATACTTATTCGATTTATACACTTAGATAAATAATAATTAATAACAATACTATTATGAATACTTACAACGAAATGATCTTAACAACAAAAAAAAATGATTTTGTTTTTGAATAATCTCGATGCACTGCTTGAAACCATTTCTTTCGACGTTTTTCGTCTTGTGGAACATTTAAAAACATTTTTTCAGGAGTTGTTTTTGTAGTCTTTGTACATAATGGTACAAAACTTTTGATTATTTAACAATGCCAACAGAATTTACTAGATAAAAACTCAAAACACTGTACTAATTATTATATCTCTGTATGCTACAATGAGCAAAAACTAACATTGTGACGTCACACGCGCTCGGGTTTATTCCCGAGCTGTCGGCTTGTTTTCGGTACTGAATTTAAAATTTAATTTTTATTTTGAAATAACTTTTTAAATATTGCAAAAAAAAATAAAATAAAAATAGTTTTGTTATAAAACTTATATATGATCTTTCCATTTATCACAAAAAAAAAATTTATTCAAAAACCCAATTAGTTAAAGCTTATATTGAAGTCTTAAAAAATTTTATTACAAACAATATATCTTTTAAATAAAATGTTGTAATACATGTATTATTATTCAACAATGTTCGGATGAATAATAGGAGGATGAAACACAATGTAACATTTCTAAAAAGCGTCAGTCGGTCGGAGTTTGACATTAGGTCATGTGAGTTAACCGTGAATTAATCTCAATTGTCTGCAATCTATGGTACCATTGGTATGCCAAGCCACGCCAGGTACATAAATTCCATTGCTGGATGTCCCGAAGCGCGATAATTGCCTACGGTTGCAGGGCGAGACTTTTAAACAATAACCTCATTTGCAGGAAATCTGCCTTGTTTTACTTTTGAATTTTGACCTTTGAACTGGAATACGTTTCTAGATCAAAATTCTATTTGATATATTTTCGGTTTTTGCAAAATTCTAATTGCGTCGAAATTAAACTTTTATTTGATCTGTTAAAATTGTAAAAGGAAATACAATATCAGTATAATAATTGAAATACGAAACCATTGGGCGAATATTTCGATATTAATTCCATCACTTTAGGTTTCTTAACGTCGTTTGGGGAAATTATTGCTACGAAGAGTCAGCCCTGGGCAGAGGATCAAATAAGACTAATTACTTCATTGTTCAACTAATGAGCAATAATCTTACTTTATACGTATATATACAGTGTTGAAGGAATGAATTTTGTCGAGTCATTTTTTTCTATGTTTAAAAATGTATGCACTTATATATTAATTTTTAATCAAGTACAAGCATATGCAATTGTGATTACCTCGTTTTAGAATAAATTTAACATTGTATGAATAATTTAGTAGCTATGCAAACATCACTATAATATTTTCTTGTTACCACAAGACAAAACAAAAAATAATACAATTTACATATCGTTAACAATATTAAATAAAATAATTATGGCTGTAAAATTATAAAAAATTATTTTGTAATTGAATAGTTTCAGGGAAGCGAATGTGAGTGACGGTTAAATAATATAGTAGGTGAGTTTAATAAGCTTATCTATTTATTTAGCTAACAAACAACAGAACTGATGATAATTAAAAGCGTATTGTCATGCATATCATGCCAGCCATGAGATACACTTTAAAATATACGTCACAATGTAAAATTTGATTAAATGTAAATAATTGCTAAAAGAAAATAAAATTAATATTGCTAAAAGACACTGCTTTTCGGATTATAAGAAAATGTTTATTATATTTGATTGTAATTTTTGTGTGCTTTAGCTCAGTTTGTTAAATGTTACGTCATATTTTTTTTATATTTATACCATATTAATATATTCACGAGTATATGTTACACTAAATATAATTAAATTAAAACAACCTAATCAAACACAAATATATATTAAGTTAATGTATCTCATGACAAGATTTGCCAATAAATAAATGTAAATATATTATTAATATTTACATGGTGGTACCCTATTTACTTATAAAACTATCATGAAACTTTTCTCGTATTATATTACGCTATCTATTACTTTAAATATTACTAGAACATTTTGTTAATTTATAAAGCAATTACATTTATTAATTTCATGGTAGAAATCCTCGAGTAGATATTCTATTAGGCCTGGGAAAAATATTTTTAAACAAGGTCAATTCGCGAATAATACAAACTTTATGCTGTTGTGTAATCATTTCTATCTACTGACAAAGTATAAAGATAAATTATTATACTCGTAGTAGTTGGTAACCCCATAGATAAAATTTAACACTAGTGTAACTGTTTAAAATGAAACAAAGCTATGTACAACAGTCTATTCTAGATTGAAAATACTTAAGAGTAAAATAACAATATATTTTCCACAGTGACAAATAGTAACCGAAAACAACTGATAAAAAATAAAAGAATATTTAGGTCTGAAATAAAATTCTCCTTGAAACGTGTATTAAATAGAAAAGACTGAATTCATTCACAAAATCCTTCACAAAAATAATTTTAAGTGAAGCCAAGTGAAGTATAGGGGTAGATACTTCGGAAATAAAGCCAGGAATTCGTGCGATACAGTATAATTTAGATAAAGCAATAGGTTAAAAAGCGAATATTAAAAGCGATGGCGCGCGATCTCTGCGGAGTGCAACTAGCAAACATGCGAGTGACAAGCGTTCGGGTCAAGAGCGAGAATTCCACTGCCGGAGTTGCGACGTCTCGGCGCTCACGCAGGCGCGGTTTGCGGAAGGGGGCTCATTAGCGAAACCGGTACTATTCTGCAGCTATCTACTATGAAGACAGATTTGTTTTTCCGCTTTTTTCCACATTATTATTTATAACATAAGAAATTTTACAATATATATAAAAACAATAAAGATGTATTAAACACAAGTACAATGCTACACAAGTATAAATTAAATGCTATGACTAATATTTTGTTTCACATCTGGTCCTTGTCTCGTAAGTAACCTTTTGGCAGACCCTGGCTAAAGCTGGGAAATTGCCGAAAAAGAAGATGGAAGAAGAAGATTAACTATTATAGATATAAAGTGGACCAAAAGAAGTCATCCGATGTTGTTTGGCACTTTTTTTTTCTAATCGAAAAACTTAAATGTTGTTATTTGACAATTTTTATTTGAACTTTCAAAATTTTACTGGTAAATCAAGAAGATTATATCGGCCAAATGGGCCCTGTCATAACTGATTGCCATATAGGCTCATTTTATGATATTTTTCATCACTCCAGAGAGAACTTCGGGTGACAGATTCTCGCACTCTAGTCCGATGACTCTCCTAGCGTAAACAGTGCACCATACTGTCACTTTGTGCGGATGTAATGGCTCTTCGTGCATCACTCGTAAATTTTCGGTAACAAGCAAAATTTCCGGAGAACAAGCAAAAGTTATACTTGTTGTGGTACCGGCTAACGCAGAAATGAGCCTCATCGCTCGTCATGATCGCTCGTCAAAAAATGAACCACTTCTTCCTCGAAATTTAGGATGGCTTGGGAGTAGATAACGCTCGTTTGACGGTCAACAGGCAGCAACTCATGCAAGAACTGAACTTATCAGTTAACATGAGCTGGTTTTTGTCATAGACATTTGAATAACACAACGTGTTGTTAAATTAAAATTATTTTACACAATCATCCTAAGAAAATATAAAGAATGTGTGTTTATTGAAACATTCATAGAACAAAACATATGTTCAAATTGCTTTGATCTAGTTACGACTCTGTATTTGCTTAAAGGTCCGGAAGATAAAACAAACTTCCAGCTCCACTGAATGTTTATATTTATTCAATCCTTACACGAGATTTGACAAAGAAAAATGGCACAAACAAAGAACTGCTTCTTGACAAAACAATAAATTATGTTTGGCTTTTCAGCAGTATTAGTTATAATAGTTTCTTTTTCCATTCTTTCTTTCGACTTTCCGTTTTGCTCTTTTTTGATAGCTGTTCACCTTAATATTTCTTTTATTAATAACCCTTCAGGGTCTTCTACGTAAACACGCCAAATAAAAAGAGATTTAAAACGGTTAATAACTTTTTGGAATCATGTAATAGTTAAAATGTTTTCTGTATAATATAAAAAAAAATTGTGTAATATGATAAATCTGTTATCATTCATATTATGTTAAGTTATTAAGTATTTGAAAAAATATTTTGTATTTGTTTTTCACACTTAACATCTTCACTTAAATAAAACTATGTTCTAAACTATTAATGGTGAAAGTTTGTCAAAACTAATAGAGGTTTATTGGTTTATGTTGAGTACTTCCCCATAGTCATGATAGTGTTCACCGCATCGTTAATTTACCTAACACGTTGCCAAGTCGATAGTGCATCGTTATTGACTGTTTAAAATTGCAAAACAACTTGTTTGTAATAGTAAATTACATTTTAAGAAAAAGTTGAACATCAACAATTAATAAACGTATTGCATGATTTCGATTGATATAATGAAGATCAAGAATGTTCTTAAACAAAAACTGAATAAAATAATGTAATCAATAAAATTACCTCAAAAGAATCACCAAACAATTTTAATTAAACTCACCTATCAAGTACAAGTCTTGCTTTGTGAGAAATTAAACAAACTAAATTTACTAGGCAAAAAACATATACGTATTACATAAATTATACATGTTAAATTAAACAGGAATGTAATATAAATCATTTCATATATAACTTCACCCATAATTGCTTGCTCAACATAATGCACAAAGTACTACAATATTCTAAACATCTCACAAAAAAAATATTTAAGTATTATGAAGAAAGTATTTATAATTGAAAGACACTAAATTTATATTACAGAATCGACTTTAAAATTTTACAGGAACTCTGTAAATAGGGAAAGTTCAACCAAGAATTAGAATTACTATGTATGTATTTATTACTAATGCTAAACTCCGCGCAAACTTCATTCTCATAATTTATAACATCTTAACTAGTATCAAATTTCGTAACACTTTTTTTTTTTTTTTTGTTATCGCGGTGAAAGGTTTTATACCTACCCCTCCATCTAGGGGAGACAGAGGCGGTTATGTGGGATTCACGGCCAGAAGGGCCCATGTTACCCACTAAAACACCAGCGGTCACTCTCCGTTGCCGCCAAGTGGATCGCCACGGGAAACGCCGAAGCATGCATCCGCGACGATCCGGCGGCGGGCCGCGAACGGCCACCTCCCCCCCCGAGGGCTCACTCCAAGTGACCAGGAGTGTCCCCCCGCCTGGCGGGCTTGCTTAATCGCGAGAGGGTTAACCCCTTACCCCTCCCACCCAAGCCCACGCGGCCAGTCTCCAACCACCCACCGACGAGCGCAAGCGCCCGACGGCAGACAGAGAGGAAACCGACCGACCACAAGCGAACTCAGGCCTCCGGAGAGACCCGAGTATCCCCTCCCCCCCAAGACAGCCACGGACGGCCTCCTGCCAGATCCGTGACCGTCTTACTCCCAGGGCTGTACCCCCAGCCCTCCCCCCCGTGACTGATTGCACCGGAATACACCAGTGGGCGATGGGGTCGTCACGTCCCGACGCCGGACTGCGCCGACAGTGGCCGAGGCCACCCGCCAACACGTAGGGCCGAACTTGGCAGCGGCGGTGTACACCGCCGAGCCTCGTCCTACCCACCTCCATGGGCTGCACCCCCAGCCCGGGCCAAGACCCCACGAGGAGGTCAAGGCCCTTCCCCCCCGTGACTAATTGCACCGGAATACACCGGTGGGCGATGGGGTCGTCACGTCCCGACGCCGGAAAATTTCGTAACACTTGATACTTAAGGGTAACTTTTGCAACGTTCAAATATTTTAATACTCAACCGCTTCCAGAAATTCTTTGATGTTTTATTAACTTTTTGATTGATGTGGGAACATAAGACGAAGATCTCATATTATGTGGATGTTCGGTCGTGGAAACTTATAATTTTATACTTAATATTTTTTGAACACTAGAGTGATTAAGACGAAAATAAAGGACCAATGAGTTTGGGACAAAAAGACCTAAGATCCCTTAGTCCACTCCACCCCAATAAAGTGGGAGCATTTCTTCACTTCTCAACCAAATTACAGATTCTGTCTCATCTCAATTTTGTCCGAGAATAACTTAACTGTTAAGTTTTATTACAATACAATAATAAATAGAATGTTGAGGAAGAAAAAGTACTTCATTGAAAATTGCACCATTATACAACCTTTTCCTCTACAGTTTATTGATGGTTTAGCCAGGTATTAACTCAGAGAGAAATGTTGTTGGTTTATAAGCTCAATGTTCCAATAGAGATAAAACCTTAGTACACCTTCTTGATTGGAAATGTGCTTCAGTGTTCTATAGTTATTTGAACTAATTGTGATTGAGAATTTAAAATACTGTCTCTGTTGTCACTGTTCCCCTATCCCGCCCCTCTCCGGATATCGCGAACTTTTCTCGTTAAAGTTATTTCCTAGCTACCGCAGGGACTCGCTTGTTATACTTATCGACCGCTTTATTAAATTACTTAGTAATTTTAATAGCTATCCTACGCCGCATCTTGTTAATTTTTTTGTAACTTTTCCTTGAAAATTTCGTTCCAATTAAATTTCAACCGCTTTAGGCCCTGATATGAGTTTTGTGTGATAATGTTTTCTCTTCACCCAATTGTGTTTTAGATTAATATTTATTCGAGCCATCTCGGACTACAAAAACACAGATTTCTTTACTGAAAAAAGCATAATTTTTTTATAATAAATTAAAAAATATACGTGTTTCAGTTTTCAAAATAATTATTTCCTTCTTATGTTTTAGAGCAACGAACGCATCGAAATAGTGTACTTATCTTAAAATACTGAGAATTCTTGTTCTAATCGCAATGTATTCACATTTTGGCAAAAATAAAACTCTCAGTCATCAACATTCATTAACTTTTCTTTCAAAACGTTATTCTTTACAACTAGTATGACTTTCATACATCAAACACGGAATACAAATAAATCATAAATTTATATGAATGTTTTCATTGAATTAAACAGGTCGGTGAGTGTACTGTGTTATGAAAATATAACCGTTCAAAGTTTGGTTCAAAGTTAATTTCTTCTCACACAGAATCTGATATGACACGGCAAACATTGATGTACATACATACCTAAGAAAAATACGTTTGCTGGATATATTAATCTTCTATTGCTGTCAGTTTTTAAGCCTTCCTTATCTTAGATTGAAGATATTGAAAATAATTATTATCTTCGTTTTCTTAAAGACTTTATAATGGGTAGCCGGTGGAAGTTTCTCTTTGAATCTATCGAAAGAATGTTTAAAAGTAATTGAACAAGTGCCACGACGTCGCAATCATAAGAAAATTTCTCGCAATCATAAGAATTTTTTCGGAATAAATACGATCTATCAAAATATCTTATGTTTCGCCAATAATACCAACCATAAAAATTAAAATATCTTCTTATCTAACATGATTAATGTTAAGTATAAATTTATTAAAATAATAATAGGAATATTTATAATTAACAATAATAATTAAATGTTCGTTTTCTTTGGACCAATATAATTTTTACACTTACAATACTTAAATTTTATATTAATTATAGTAAAATATTTAAATCTAGGATTTAAAAGCTAGAATTTAATTTTTATCCAAACTTATGAAATATGACAAAAATTTTGAAATCATTCATAGCCTCCAACGATGCACTAGAAGCAAAAGTAGTTAACCAATCACAATAAAACATCTCTTAAATGAAACCATATTAAAAATATATGACTATAAAAAGTATATTGTATTTTATAAAATTATTTTATTGTATTTTAATCAAAGTGGAAAAACGTAACGAATCAATAATTGAATTTATTTCTATGTGCGGATCTAAATCTTATTCTGTGTGAAAGGGTAGAAAATTATTTTAAAACAGGGCTGGTGTTGGAGAGAGCTGTCAACGATACTCGTAACGTCATTATACAAAGTTTATTCAGAAACTGACGGCTCGGCTGGATGTGAGCACTACTACTAAGTTGTTCAAAGAATAGAATTATAACGATGTCCAAGTTTGGTAATTCGTTCGTGAAACTACAGTTCCGCAATTCAATATCTTATATCAGAATCTACAAATAAATTAGAATATGCATTGAAGCAAAAAATATTCACAAAGAGGAAGTCCTAAAAGCCCCTTACCATTGAATTGGATCGATGTCAAATATTACATAATTTATTCAAGCGTCATTAATTATACAACTGTTTCTAGAAATAATTAAGAAGCTTTAATACGAAAATTAATGTACATTGAATTTCTATAAGCTTGGTTGACGAAGTGATGAAGTTATAAAAAGCGTCCCTACTGTATAAAAATGATGTCGATATCATACCTTAGCTATAATACCTGTATTTTTGCATTGTATTCTATGTTTTGATTGTAGATTAGAAAAGTTCAAACAAGTCTAGAACTAAAAACACTC